AAAAAGGAAACAAAAAAGACCAAAACAATTCCCCAGCAGAAATCAACACCCAGTTGAACAGACATTAACACCACGATCAATACTAGACCAGCAATCAAGAAACAAACAATATTCAAATAAAAAATCTACCAACTCAGACCAAGAAGCTAACCGTAAACAGTCTAATCAAGCAACCACCAAAACTGCTCCCACCAACGCTGATAGGGAAAGCCACTAGTATATAAAATGAGAGCAAATCCCTGTCAGCACTGATTATGTTATCTAGTTTAATCATAAAACCTCTCCAAGAAAACAATCAAGCTCATAGAGCATCAAGTTCAAGCTATAAATATTATCCTCTATTGGTATAATTATAACTATGTAACAGCCAATGCATTTGTAAATAAAATATTCTATACATACAATTCATATTTTTCTTTTTCTTTTTGCTAGTCTATCGGTAAAGATAATATTACTTACAATATTCATATTATTATTAAGACAAGTGTAAAAATTAAGACTAAGAGTTAAAAAATCTAAAAACTGGCAGGACCAAACATTAACACTTTTGTTAACATTTAAGTATTTCACAGAAGATAGATAGATACTACCATGATAATTATGTTAAGATAATGCAAAGTCAATGGTTTATATATTTGAATCAGAAAGTTAGTACAGGTCAGGATCCGCATTGTGGCATTATCGCAAACTTGTCAGCACATTTTTTCATCACAGGAACACTTATGAATATGCTACTAAAACTCTTGTATCTGTAACCTTTAACTGAGCGAAATTATGCATCACACATTCACATCTCCAAGTATCTCCCTGGATTATTATTTTCCAGTACATTAGAAGCTCTGCCACTGTTGAACACATTGATGAATTTGGTAAGGAAATATTTCTGATATCTTGGATATATAATTGATCTTAAAATCTTCGTATTGGGGATATAGCCAAGAACATATGTATTTTAACATACATATTTCAAGAGCTTCATTTACAATTCTGTTTAAATCAATCTCAAATACAGTAACAGCAGGAAAAAAACCATATGATTTTATAGCTCAATTACTTAGGTGGATCTACAAGAGACCCGCATTTGTCACCAACTTTTATAACCAATTCTCCAAAGTAAACTGTATGAAATCATGTATTACTTGTTTCACCCAGAGCTTCAGGCATTTTTTCTCCTATTGGGAGGCCTACATGGCCTGACACTTCAAAGGCTTCCGTAGGCTTTCATGATTTCAGGAAAGAAGGCCTAGTGTGACAGGAACTGTGTCAGATAGGTTGCATGGGCCTCTCAAAAGCAGGAGAAAATGCCACAAGGTAAGCAGCGCATGGCAACCGATCCTCAGAAGCACTGAATGAAGGGAGCAACTGTGCAGACTGCCAGGCTCACGTGTATTGAAAAATGGTGCAAAGTATCATTTCTGAGAAGCAGCAGCGGTGCTAGGACTGACATTGAGGCCTGGGGTGGTGGAAACTGGCTGAGATTGCTGAAGGCCCCAGGCCTCTATGTTAGATCAAGGCTTGGCAATGCCTGGCCTTGACCTAAAGGGCTGCTTTTCCTGCTGATATCAGGGAAAAATAAGCAGTGTCAATTGCAACGTCCCTGGCAGTTTTAAGCGTGGCCACACAAGTTTTTGTCATGTGGCTATAAGGACACTGAAAAGTTTGTAACTTCCCTTCATTCAGCAGCGTAATTTCAAATAGCTAAATGAATGGTCGTTAAATAAGGACAACCTACATTGTCACAGGATGTAAGTAAAGCTGCCTTTTGCAATTGACTGATCATGATTTTGTCAATGCCAGTGGTGCTCCAGATAGCTTTGGAATTATGCCTAAGATACCTACTGTTATTGGCACTACCTTTGCTTTTTTGCCACAAACATTCTATGTTAGTTTTCTCTGTAAATCTTTGCGTTTTGTCATTTTTTTCTGGTTCTTTTTCTATTCTGCTGTCTACAGGTATTGCAGCATCCACTATAAAGATACTTTTTTTTCTCTTATCCACAGTTTTAAGGTGTTATGTGGCAGATGCTTGTCTGTTAGAATTCTAAAATCCCAGAGCACTTTAGCTTCTTTATTTTCTATTACTTGGTCTATTTTGTGGTTCCACCAGTGCTTGTTTGGAGGAAAATGGGTATTTCTTGAAGATGTTCTAATACACCATTCTTGCTACTGTGTCCTGATGTTGTTTGTAATCAGTCTGTGCAATCTTCCTGCATTAGCTAAGTACACTGGTGGCCCACTGTTTCTACAACATCTTTGCAGAGATAGTATTTTCTGTCTGTTACTATCTTCTCAATTCTGGCTTTATATGTATTTGTTCTGTTGACGGTGAGGGTAATCCTTTTGTCCAACCCAAATTCCAGTGCAATATCTTGGCTATAAACATACAGCTTTGAAGAATGACTCTATTTCAGATGGTGTTTTTCCATACATCTTCAGATCATCTATGTAAAGAGGATAGGGCAGCCTGGCAGATATTGTTGATGCTGATAGTAGCTGTGACCTTACTTGTCCTGTATTGAATCACATGGTCTCTCTAGTTCAATATATGGACTTCCCTTTGAGATTCCAGCTGTTCATCAGAAGCTTTTGGAGGTGATATTAAAAATCCAACCTTTTCCTCCTTTTCTTTTCTTTTTTTTAAAGGGACCAACCCTTTTCTCTTTCCAACAAAAGGTGTTGAGATCATCAGACTCTTCATGTCACCAGTGACATGCCCTGCTAACCGCTGTGCATTTTGTCCAGGAGGATGTGTTCAAGAAGAGTGAATGTGTACTGGGAATGTTGTGTGTTCTGCTCACAAAAAACTAGCTTTAAGCATCTATATTTAAGATCAAATGAACTTCAACCATACTATATAAAATTGTTATAGTAAATCTGATTCTTTTAAAAGTCTGGAAGAGTGATTTCCAATTAGAACTTGATTAATTATATTAGAATTCTTTATGTTATCAGTTCCTTTTAGATTTTAGTGCTAATCAAGAAAATAATCATGAAAATAATCCATAAACTGAATTATATGTCACTACAATGATTTATATAAATTGTAATTCTTCTAAATAATGTTTGGGTTTGCATACAAATTGGTACATTTTACCAACTTTTACAGTAATGCTCAAACCCAAATAGAAACACTGAAATAGATATTTAAAATATTTGTTCTTCAAGTATGTATTGTCAAATTTTTTGCTCATGTTTTTTCTCCAGGTTTATTCTTAAGTTTTTGCCCTTTGATTTTTAGTTTGTTCAGTATAAACACCAGGGGTGGGTTTCTACCAGTTCGCACCTATTTGCTAGAATCGGTTGTTAACATTCTAAGCAGTTTGGAGAACCGGTTGTTAGAAGAAATTAGTGGCCTAATCCTGTAAGGAAGGCAGGAAGGAAACATTCTGGTGTTGCTTACAGAAACTGCCTCTCCGTTAACCCTTATTACATTCTTGGCAGGATTAGACTTCATGTCTCAGGAACTTCTCTGGAGTTTTTTCTCCCTCTTTTGCTGGTACTTTGCTTGTGTGGAGTGACCATTCAAAGTTACAATGGCACTGAAAAAAGTGACTTATGACCATTTTTCACACTTACAACTGTTGCAGCATCCCCACAGTCATGAGAGGCCAGGCGAAGAGATGTGTGCCTCGATGTGAGTGATATTGAGTTGGCCAATAACATCACCACCAAGCCACGTCCACCCAGTCACATGGCCATCAAGTCACGCCCACCAACTAAGCCACACCCACAGAACCGGTTGTTAAAAAATTTGAATCCCACCCCTGATAAACACCAATCCTAACTAATTAGTTCATGTGCCAAACTGTTAATAATTTGCAAGATTTTTAAAAAATAAAGCAAATGAATACAGTTGAATTTTCCTATTGGCAAATTATTATATGATTCAGTTGATAAAAGTTCAACTTTTGTGTAGAACAGATACCCCCCCCCCAAATTGAAGAATGTGTTCACAGTGGAAATGAGATTCCAGGGAGAGTAAGTCAAATGTAGCAACAAATCTATATGATGAAGCACTCATTTTTAACAACTAGCAATCTACAAAAAGTTTAGTATCTTCATTAGCCCAAAGACATATAATTATTTCATGACACTCAAAAATAAGACAAAACCAATGCAGATCATCAAACAAAGCAAATCTTTGAATTAAGATAACATCTTTTTTATCAAATTGCTTTCACCAGTCTATTCAAACTCAAATTCCATACTTTGGCATCTGGATTAATGAGCAGCAATTATTTCAAACCGAAACAAATGCTCCCCAAAAGGACCAGACTGTTTCCACATTACTTCTAGAGCATTATCATCAGCATTGATCTCCTTCTGTATTAACCACAGCAGAGCACCAGCACATTTAAGTTCCCAACCATCACAAGTTACAGTACATTTCTTCCAACCAATCCAAACCCACCCTCAAGTTAAGTTTCTGTTTACTTATTCAATATCTGAGCCAAATGATCTTAAGCCATCATGTTGCTCACCTCAACCTCCCTGCTTTGAACAGATTTCAAAGCAGAGTATTGGGTGGAAAACCTGCAAAGATACTTTTCCTGTCACTCATTCTTGCAAAAAATACTGTCTTGGTCAAGGCCAAACCCGGAGAACAAAAGCAGAGAAAGATTAAAACCTGAAATGGAGAGACCCTAAATAACCACCTTACTCTGGGGGTGATTAATTCTGACCCCGGGAAGAATTGCAACCAGAGAGGTGGGTTGCTGTTTTTTTTTCCCCTTCCGCAGCACTTTGTCTTTCGAGGACTCGCCCAACCTGGATTCCTTCATCCAAAGGGGAATTAACAGCATTCCCACGGGAGCAAGTGGCCAGAAGGACTGACCGCCAAGCGCTCAAAAGGGCAGAGAGAGAGAGAGAGAGAGAAAGGAGGAAGGGGGATGAATGGGCGACGAGTCTTCAGAGGGCAAATCCGAGAAGGTGGGGGGAAACAACCGGGGGAGCCCACAGAGACAGACAAGGCGGCCGGCTATACAATGAGGGGCGCTTACCTTCCTTGCCCCCCCCCGTCCCCGTCGCTCCGAGGCCCTCCTTGCTCTTAGGCAGGCTGGTAAGGTCAGCCCTCCCGCTCCCTGGGGCGAAAACGAGGAGGAAGTAAGTAACCCTGGCTTTGGCTTCCCGGCGGCGCCTTTCAAACCCTCCCCGCCCTCTCTTCAGGAGGAGCGGCGGCGGCGGGGAGCGACTGGCTGAGGAGGAGAAGCGACCGGGGCTGCGTCTGCTGTGGGGGGGAACCAAGCTCACAGGCACCAGAAAGAGGAGCTGGGGGCGCTGGCGCCTCAACTCCCGCTGGTGCTGCAGGAGGCACTGCGGGCAGAGCAGGAAGTGCAGGCGAGGGAGCTGCCGCTACCGCCACCCAGGTAGCCCCTAGACAAGAGCTCCTTCTCTCGCCGCGCCGAGGAGGAAAGCGGGCAGAAGGTCCTGGGCGGGAGGGCTCGGCCTCATCTGCTCGCAGCCGCGGTGTGTGTGTGAGAGAGAGAGAGAGAGAAGGAGGAACGAGACCCCCTCAATATCTGCTTGCTCTTGCTTTGTGCTCCTTGGAGATTAAGGGCGGAGGGGGGAAGGGAAGGAAAGACGCCTCCCCGAGATAAACTTTGCAAGGGAGATGCTGCCTGCTTCCGTCGGGCCTCAATAGCCTCTTTCTTGCAATGTGATTCCACCACCCAGAGCAGTGTTTGTCAACCGCGTGCACTTTTCAGGTGTGTGGATGTCAATTCCCAGAGGACCCTAACCCTCTTGAAGGTCATAAGGTGGAGAAACAGATGAAAGTAGCCCTTCCTTCGAGCAAGAGTGAAACAAGGAAATGAAAACAACCTGCAAAAAAAAAATTGTGATCACTGTCACTTCTGCAATGTAATGATGAACCAAAGCTACAATGCTCTCTCTCTCTCACACACACACACTTTCCTTTAAGCTCCTTCAAACACAATGGGGATTTTGAAATATATACAGCGTAATTGCCAACCTAGGTATATTCTCTAGAGATAAAGCCTCACCAAACAGTAAGATTTACTTTTAAGGCAACAGGGGTGCAAATATAGTACAATACAAATGGCACATGCTATTTGCTGTTGGTTGTTCTTTGCTCCAAAGTTGCTTTAGAGAACAGTGCATGTACTGTAATGATGGATTCTGCTATCATCATTGCTTTAATAATGAGTTATTACTATTAATGGTGGTAATCTACTATTCGCCTACCCTACATGGAGCAGGAAAACAGTTCCGCCTAGCTATTTGCTTTCAGTTAAGATAAAAGCTTCAAATCTGTCACCAAGAGGTAGCATCGCTCCTTGTCCCTAGATGGTAGGGAGGAAAGTTAGTATGAAGGCTTTGCTCCACCTTTGGGAACTCTTTTGTTCTAACTAAGAGGTTTCCCTTTTTCAAGCTGCTTAGTTGAAAATTAGGAAATCAATAAGATTCTGTCAGGAAAGGACTTGGGTGGTGGGGAGACAGTCAGGTTCAACTCCTGTTTTGTAACATTTAAAGACACAGGAGACTTACTGTTTTCAACAATTCATTCCCTAATATTATTCAGTAACAACACAGTTGTTGTTGCCAGGGATGTTGGAAGCAGTAGTTCAGCAATACCTGGGCAAAGGCTTCCCATCTATGTCTTTATTATTTGGGTAGGAACCTACACAGTGGTGGGATTCATAAATGTTTACTACTGGTTCTGAGGGCATGGCTTGGTGGGCGTGACAGCGGAAGGATACTGTAAAATCTCCATTCCCACTCCAGTCCTGGGGGAAGGTTACTGCAAAGTCCCATTCCCTCCCCACCCCACTAACTTGCTTTCCAGCTCTGTTCTCCTGTGCAGGGCAACAAAAGAAGACCCAGCCAATCAGCTGGGACTCAGGAGGCAGAGAATAGATGGGGGTGGGGCTAGTCTGAGGTGGTATTTGCTGGTTCTTCAAACTACTCAAAATTTCCACTACTGGTTCTCCAGAACTGGACAGAACTTGCTGAATACCACCTCTGAACCTAGGGATTTTTAAAATTTTTCTTCTTTTCCAAAACAAAAGGGCTGTTTTTTTCTGTAAGTGTAGACGGTCCCCCGCTGATGAACTGAAGTTTTCTCCATCTTGGTTTCAGAAAATCATGTTGATGAGAACTTTATTACACCTCCCCATTGCAATTTTTTCTTAATTAACTGTTCCTAATCACTACAGTTGTAATGTCCCTAAGGCAATGCTTTTCAACCTTGGCAACTTTAAAATATGTGGACTTCAACTCCCAGAATTCCCGAGGCACATCTTAAAGGCTTCCAAGGTTGAAGAACACTGCTCTAAGTGGATCTAATGGATGTTAAAGTCAAATAGCTTGCAAATGACCTTGGCGGTGCCAGAATAAGTGAGAAAATACTGCAGAGTAGCTGATGATGATTTAAGTCATATATCTGGGGACAAGGAAGTCAATGTCATCAGGAGATAGCAAAATAATAATAATACCAGAACAAAATGTTTTTTTTTATCAGGGCAACCTGGTCTACCCAAATATGGAACTTGGCATACTGCTTCCGTTTTATTGCTAGGACATTGTTATGGTTATATTTAGGAGTTGGGAAAAGTCTTGTTTCCACTAAAGCTCCAATCAGAATAAAGAAACAACATCCAACTTTATAAGTTCCTGGTTAATATGTGATCAACTATGCATCTAGATGGCAGAAAATCAGGAGTTGGAGAAATCTCTAGGGCTAGACAGTCTTTTGAACCTTAGCATAAATGGCTCACTTTATAGAGAGGAGGTTGGTCTACTGGTGTAATAAAAATGCCATAAGGAGGTTATTCACAGAACAGCTTGAACAATTAAAATTAAATACATGATTGTAAAATACAGGTCCTAATTGGCATTTATAAAATGCAGGGATCACATAATGCCTGGACCACCTACCGGTTGCCTTCTGGGCACAGTACAAGATACTAATATTGATTTTTAAAGCATTTAACAGCTTGAACCCCAAATCTAATTCTAAAGAGAATTGGCCTCTTCTACTCTGAACCATTCTATTGAGAGCAGCCCTTCTCAAAGTGTAGTTTGATTATCCCTGGGGGTCCCTGAGATATTTTCGCAGGATCTGCGAAGCCAATTAAATACGTATTTTAAAATTTCTTAGTTTTAATTTCTAGTACAGTGAATATACTAGATACAGCCCACACACAGTGAACTAAAGCTCTTTGGGGTCCTCAATTATTTTGGGAATGTAAAGAAGTCTTGAGGCCAAATATTTGAAAATTACTAATTTAGATCATCAAGATTGAGCATTTCGAGGCTTCCTCGCCCACAGAAGCTTGACTATATCTGTATAGTTTCTAGGATGTGAAATGCACTCCCTAGGGGGGATTTATTTGATTCAATGCTCAATATTTAGGATGGTGTTAATAAATATATATACATATTCCTCCATGTGTTTGTATTGGAATTTTTAATTTTAATTCTTATTTTAATGGTTGCTGTAGTTACATTTTTTTAAATCACTGCTGGCCTCCTTGACTGTTGAAGAAACAAAGTAGTGCAGTAGAAATTCAGTAAATAAATAAATTAAGAATGTGTCATTAGTTCCCTTTGGAATGACTGCCAGTATTTGCAGAATCAAACCGCTGAGTTCAGTAATCAAATGAAATTCTGTGCTTCTAATGGTTTTTACAGTAACTTGCATGAGAACAAGAAAGCAGTGTAGCTCTGAAAGCTCTGCCACTTCAGTGCGTTCAACGTTGCAATGCATGTACACAAAAAAGAGAGCCTGGATTGCATTATGACTCCACAGCAGTGATGAAACTAGCACTGCATTTGTCAGTCTATCCTCCTCCCCACTCCTCTAGCTCATGGGTATTGCTGCTTGCTCCGAGGACAGAAATTAATTGCAAAACTATAAATTATATATGTTGGATACAAACCACACTTTTGGGGGGGGGGAATAACATGATGATGTAAACCCCAGACATTCATACTTGAAATTGGACACAATTATGTTAAGTCGCATGGTTTGTATTGCAATATAACAATATACGTTTCATCATTTACATCCCCTTGCTTTCTTACCCACAGATCCCTATAATTGCTACCGACTTAGAAAATTAATTCTTGTTGCCAACAGTGTCTGCAATCCTTCTAGAATTCATACTCTCAATCTTGCTGAGCTTTTTAAAACAAGTTGTAATACCTGTTACACAACTGGGTTCCAAATATTAGTACATTTATGATTTTGTTTTATGTGTACTTTGGCAAGGTGTAACACATTCTAACACAGGTTGTGACACCAGGGAAAATTACAGCTAGGGCACTGTTAATCGACTCTGACTAAAACAAAACAAAACCAAATGTCAATGCATTTAGACTTGTATGAATCTGAAAATCCATAGTTGTGGCAGTCCCATCAATGTCGCTACTACCGTAAACGGGAGTGTGAAAAATATGGCCCATTCTCTCATGCAACGAGACCAAGGGAATGGATACAGTTTAAAACACTGTACGAATCTCATCGTTTAATCATGGTTTGTTAACTAAACTATAATTGAGTATATTCACATAGAACATTAAACCATAAACAAGCCTTGGTGTCCTCCAAGAATACTGAATTAAAACTCCCATCAACCAAGATATCTGCTGTGCTGGCTGATGAGACATGCAGCCTAACACATCTGGAGCAGCGGGCGCCAACCGGTGGGCCGTGAGAAAACTTTGGTGGGCCACAGAGAAATCTCACCCCCAGAGCCCCCCCAAAAGCAATTAATCCAGGCTGCTGCGCATCCCACATGACCCACGGGAACCCTCCCCGCCCACTGACTCCTTACCTGGCAAACTTGCCTGCTAAATTGCCATTTTTCCTTTTTCCGATCATCATCTGTTCTGCTGTGCCCGGAGATTTAGATTAGCTAGGAAACAAAATGGTTGGATTTCTTGCTTTCTAGCTAGTCTTTAGATCTTCGGCTCTGCTTTTAAGCACAGCTGAAGATCCCTTAGGACTGAAGGTTCTATTATTTAGTGCAGACTCACGGCAAGCAAATTTGAGAGACTGAGCTAGCTGATGGCAGATAGATAGATCACTGAATGATTCTGTGAGCAACTCAATCTGCCTACCTGCTTTGCCTGATTTTGGGTAAAAATCAAAAAAGTTGCTCTTTTTTAATAAAAAATATAAATATTTATAATATTTACATACAAGCCATGCCCAGCCAGTCACATGACCACCAAGCCACACCCCCACAAATCAGGAGGGCCATGCCCATAGAACCAGTTAGTGGTCCCTGTGATTTAAAATTATGATTTTGGTGGTCCCTGTGGTCCAAAAGGTTGGCTACCCCTGATCTGGG